AGAAACAGGTCCAGATGAAAATTCGACGCGGTTTCTGTATATAATGAGAAATAAATTCACTGAGCGGGTGACTGGTACGAAATTGTTTCACCAGAGCCTCGTTAGCCATGCGTTTTACGGTTCACAGCAGCCGTAGTGAGTAAAATACTTTAGCGTCATTCTGTGACGGAACAAAATTTTTTTTTCACTCAGCGTGACTTTTTGCTTGTCCTCATAACATCATCAGCACTAAAGTTCACTCGTCACCCGAGCCCGCATATGCACTATTAACTGAGGAATGGTTTCTGAAATACGCTATGCGTTTCGTCCCATCGTCGCACCGTATTAGGCGTATGTGAAACTTCGGGCACACGATTTTATGCTCCTTGTTGTTATTTACTCGTTGCAATACTTTGCTTATGCTGACCAGTTTCAACATGGAATATTCCACCGAATCACTGCTTGTTGATACCACCCCTTGTTTCTACTTGGTCAGAGAACCATTTAAGCAGGCCAGGGCTTCAGTTGCACATGCACTACCAGCTGCACTGGGCATACTCTACAGGCGCATCCCGATGCATGGTTTATAATCGTGGTTGATGGTCACACCGAATGCTGGAAAACTTCTTGTAACTTGCTTATTGCGTGGCCAGTCTGTGGAAGCAAAGGCTTGAGAACTGTCAGTGAATGAATACCTGCAATCTGAAACACGAACTGTTATCCACTGTAGGCCTAGGTGTTTGTGGATCACTAGTGGTTAATCGAAATCATTTAAGAGGGCCACAGTCAGCGCCGTGCCAGGTTTTAAGGGAGACTGTTTTAAGAAGCCCAAAGATATTTATAATTCACTGTGAGCCCCGCTGACGCATTTTCAGGCAGACAATAAACACTCATCATTTGTGCAGAGAACTAACTTTCTGTAGCAAATGACGAATACACAAATCATCTTGCTTCCTGTCGCGTTGTATATTCATGACAGCTGCTGCAGTTAAGCAGGCGACCAGTTTTGTCTTGTGATCAGTTTGTACAAATATTCGAATAGCGCAGCGCTCCTTAATTGGTATTTGTTGTTTGCTGTCGGGTTTCTTGTTGCGGTTCCCGTAGCCCCTAATGCGTTAGCTGCGCTGCGTAACCTCGGAAAGTTTTGGTGCATTTTCGCCAGATTGGTAGAAAGACTAGGTTTGATGCGCCGCATTGCTCTATCGTTTTTTACGAATGATTGTATTTTTTCGAAATTTATGCTCAATGTTTTTCTTAACTGTTTCTAGAGCGCCATGTTTTGTGGTATTTCGGTTCATCGTTTGTTTTTTGGGTTGCTTTAGGTCGTACTTTAAGATATTCCGTACTATTTTAGTGAATCCGAAGAGCTTGATCCCATCAACTGCATAATGCAGAACTTGAACAGTTATCCTTTCATAATGTAACGATTTGCCATCACTCGTTTTTTGTTTTTAATCTTACAGTTTAGTCGAAGAAGTCGTGCTGCACTTTGGCAACGAATTCAGTCAGGTAAAAGTTGGTGAATAATTTTTTTCTGTGCTTTTCCGTTACACTTCACGTCGAATGGTGTATGAAAGAAATCGGCACAGCATGCCAAATGGTTAGCGAATTTAGTAATTTCAAAGCATCGGAGTTGACATTCCGGCAGTATTGTTCAAAATTCCATCGAACGAATGATGGCCACTGAGCCTTGTACGCTACATATTTTGCACATACGCGTAGGGCATGCCTCTGTCGGTTTCATAGTGCCTTTTTTATTTCGTTGTTTAACGGTACGGCAGCTCCGTTCGACATTTTCAGTACCTGGTCCGGTTGCAGGATCAACGAAATTGCTACCTGCTGTTGTTAACGGTTTCGTAGGTGCCTCTGTTATGACTAAGGCAGAGCTGAGCGCTGAGCTTGTCCTCAAGTCGATCTCCATCCTCATGCTAGCCTACGGTCACGAGTCGTGGACCTTCATCTTCTTCATCTTCATCTTCCATCGCCGCTTCTCCTTTCGGGTCGCGGAGGCAGACGCGTCAG